TTTATACACATAGCTCTGATACCATTTATACACAGCGGCAGGTAGTACGGCCAAAGCTCTGGCAACTGACACGGCTTCAGTTCCGGGCTCTTCGGGTGGTAGAGTCCTGACAATACTATCTGGTACTATGACAACAGCGTGAAGATCGATCAAACTTGGCAAGATAATACCAACGATAAGCTTTCCATAGATCAGACATATAACCAAGGTATTCTAGCCGGTGTTTAAGACTCTGGCGCCTTCTTGGCTTAACGTCGAACTGAGGGCCTGACTTTTATGGAGATATGTCTTTCACTATAGTAACTTACTATTAGTATGATCTTGGGGCGGTATGACTTTTCTTTAGCTGAGGAAAAAGGGATCAATGATCTGTTTAACAGATTAACAAGAGTTTCTGTTACAGAGGATCCATAATAATATGGCAACTGCAGAGCATACTCAACTTGTATCACTGTAAACTTTTGAATAGATTGAAGAGAAGGAAGAAGCTGAAAAGATGTAACTATGAAAAAATGAAGATGGAATCACCAAAAGAGAAGAGAGGTTTTTAGCCAAACATATTTTTATAAAGGAAGGTTTTTCTTACAAGAGATGTTGTTGAGAAGTTGTGGATGATTACTATGCTTCTTGGTATGATTACTTCCTAGAGAAGTATCATGCTATTTATATATAAAAAAGTAAAGGACTAGTAGCCTAATAAGACGAGACTAGGACAAAGTAACTTTACAAGTGACTTAGGATAAGACTAAAGGACGATGAGTCATAACTAAGGTACAATGACTCATAACTAGGGTACAAAGGTCTATTATTATGGTATAGTGACTCATCACTTAAGGTACAGTGACTAAGCACTATGACTCATACTAAAAATAAAAATACATTATGACTTGATTAAGACATAAAAGTGATGAAGACTTGACATAAGGTTATCTTGATGTGAAGGCATTATTATCAACTTCTGTGGAGTCTTCTGGAGAAAACTAAAATTAACACGCATAATTATACAATATTTGGACTGGAGAGAGAATCTTCTGTCTTGTAGCACCATCATTTGAGAGAACATTGAGTGTGTTCTGGAGAGAGGTTGAGGTGTGAATTATCTGCGCCTGGAGTGAAATCATAGCCGAGGTTGACTAACCATTGGTTTGGATCAAAATCATCAAGTAGGTCTTGAGAATCTTGTTGCCATTCCATTTGTGGGAGAACTTCAGAAGGTTTCCAATAAGGATTCTATTCTACTGGGCCTGCATGGTCAAGTTCAAATCTGATAGTTTCAGAAAAAGGTTCTGTCCAAGTACCATCAAGGCGAGTTTCATAAATCTTTTTATCAATGTTGAGCTGGTAAGTGTACTCTGAAGGATAGTTTCTGATAAGGATAGCCTGCATTTTGTAGATGAGATCATGAGCACGTCTTTCAAGTGTCTTTTTGGTAATGATCTGCTGGATTTCAGAAGGTAGGTTATGAACTGGAAAAATTGGTTGAAAATCTGGATCTGGAACAAAGGGTTTGTATTTCGGGGTGTAAAGGTAAGGGAAGAGAAAAGGATTGGTGACCGTTTGAGGAACAGGGTCAAAAGAGGGTAAAGGTAAAGGTAAGGAAGACATCATGCAAAAGACTGGAATAACCTGGAAAGTGTTTGAAGGAGGTTTCGAAGGAGGTCTTGTGAGCATGTCTGGGATGGGGTTGTCTTTTCCTTTTATATGGCTGGTGGTGAAGGAGTACTGTGAGAACCACTGTGATAGCCTGAGTAACTGTGCATTTGGCATTTTTTTCTTTTTGAAATTGAGCATCTGATCAAAGGCTGACATATCTAATTCCACGAGAAAGTGAAATCCAATGAGGTGAAATTCAAATCTTTGGATACCATACTTTACAGCTAAAATCTCTTTTAGTGTAGAGTGATAGTGGAGTTCCGAATCTTTGAATTTTCCGCTTTTGTAACCACAGATATGTCTGGTTCCATCTTTTTCTTCAAGAAGAATTGCTGACCAGAACTGTTTACTAGCATCTGTCTGCAAGATTCTTTTTCCATATGAAGGAATCTTTAAAGTGGGAAGTGACTTTGCTTTTATCTTCAAGGCTTGTACTGCTTTTGTCTGAATCTGAGACCACGTGGGAGGTTCTTTTTTGAGCATTTGTCTGAGGGGATATGTGAGTTGGGCAATATCTGGGAGAAATTCATTCATGTAGTTGACTATACCGAAAAATTGCTGGATTTGCTTCTTTGAGAAATTTGCATCAGGAAAATCTGCAAGTGACTGAGCAATATGAGGTTGAGCAATGTACTGACCATCTTTGAGATGCATGCCTAGAAAATCAATTTATGTAGCACCAATGAGCATCTTTTTCTCTGAAAGCATTATCCCATACTGTTAAACTATGCGCTGGAACTTATCCAATAACTGTGTATGAGATGTATCATCAGGAGAGAACAAATTCATCATCAACAATTCTCTCAGTATTTCTACATACTTGGTGGATTCGATGATGTCAACTTAAAGCAAGCATTTCTTAATTCTGTTCCAGAAGAACTTGCCCAGCAAACAAGAACCCAGTTGAACCTCAGATCCCTTGATGTCAAATCTATGACCCTTGGAAACATCTACAAGATGATGCTAAAAGCCCTTGATAAGATTTGCAAAGAGCACAAATACATCAAAACCTTGGTGCACAACTCCAAAAAGCTTGAAAAGCCCTGTTCTTACTCCTCCTCAGGCTTACAAATCAAATGTTCCTCCAAAGATCCCACATGTTTTTGCAGCAACAAGAAAAAGAAGCATTTCAGAAGATTCAGACCTTCCAGACCTCCACAAATTTCCAGACCCAGACACAAGAAATTCTCCAGATATGCTGATAAACCCAGAAGATTTCAAAGATTCAAATTTGCAAGAAAGAAGAAAGACCCAAAGATCAAAAGCTCAAAATGTTTTCTCTGTGGAAAACCAGGACATTTCTCAAAGAACTGCCCAAAGTCAGACAAAAAATCAGTCAAGATGATCCAAGACATTGCCAATATCTCAGGTATCAATATCTCAGATGATGATCTTGAATCAATTTTTTCCCTTGATGATGAGCAGAATGAAAGATCACTGTTTATGATAAAGCAGTTTGATGATGATGAGTATGCAGATCCAGATTCTTCAGAATACTCAGATGATTTCACAGATGATCAATGTTATGAGTATATGTCAGTTCAAGAACTTCAAAAAATCCAAACCATTCAACCTCCAAAATTACCCTTAACTCCAGTTCAGATTTTCACTCACAAACATTCCCCTCCTATAACAGTCACAGCTTTCTTTGATACTGGTGCAGCCCAAACCATAGCAAACCCTCTTGTCTTACCCAAACATTTTTGGACAAAACAGAAAACCTTCTTCAAAATCGCTGATGAAAATGTATTTTCTACAGACTTTATCAGCAACCCTGTTACCCTTCAAATCCTTTCAGGCTGTCGAATAACTCAAAAGATTTTAGAATCTCCACTTTCCCAGAAAGACCTTGTTATTGGTTTCGATATTATAACCAGTATACCAAGTTTAAAGCTTAGTAAAAATGGTATCAAGTTTAAAAGTTATTTCAGACCTTGGAAAAACCTTCCCAACCTCTTTACCCTAACCCTTCAACCAGATGTTTTTCAAGATTTCAAACACAAGTTCATTCACTTTTCATGTGCAGAAACTCACTCAGATTTTCTCCAGAAATGTGATCACCCACTTTGGCAAAACCCTGAATTTTTCATTTCCCTTCCCTTCAAGAAAGATTGTTGGAAGTACTATTACAGTAGTAATTAAATTTAACTAGTGACGTAAAAGTCTAATTCTAACAATGGAAACATAATAAAATGAATTTAACCAAAAACTTTCCAGGTTTTGAAATGGTTAGAAAATGTCTTTTCATCTTATTTCCCCTGTAATAATAATTAGCATTTTTTTTTTAAAGAAAAACATTTTCTTTAATATTAATCGACCTGCTATCGTCACACATGTGATCCCGCCAGACAGTTAAATCCCAATTAACGAACCCAGCTACGTCTATAAACCTCCCTCTCTTCGATCCAGATTTCAAATTAACCGACTTTCTCTAATACATTCCCTACTGCATTGCCTTTTTTTTTTTTTTTCTTTTTCACTTTTCTCCGCAAATTTTGTTCCAAAGTAGAAGAAAGGGAGACGGAGACACACAGAGAGAGAGAGAGAGAGAGAGAGAGAGAGAGAGAGAGAGAGAGAAGATTTACGGGGGGAAATCGATGGCGATTATTCCTCGAGACGTTGGAGTGTTTGATGCGTTATTATTTGGTTGTTGATACTGTTACCACCGAGGATATGCATAGCGCGAGATCCGATAAGGAAATCCGAGAAAGGTGTTATGGTAAACCTTGTTGAATTCGTCGTCGACGGGTACCCGGAGAAGGAGTATGCCAAAATGTTCGATCGGGTTCTTGAGAAAAGAAGTTCTCTGAAAATGATCAACCTGAAGGTTAGCTTTTGTTCTACTTTATTATTATTATTATTTTGGTATAATAGTGCTTTCAAATGTGTTGAATGCTTAATATGCCGAGAAAAAACCAGAGAAAAAGAAAAAAAAACGAAAACCGTTGGGATTCATGATTGCTTATGCTGGGCACAGTTCTAGCAAATTTCACCAAACAATGCAGGCTCAATTTGAAATTTAAACTTTCAACAAAAGCGCCCATATATTCTATTAGAAGTTAAAATAAAGTTTTCATAAAAGGACACTGAAGTAAAAACATAGCAATAAGACTAGTTTGTTTTGTTTTTTGAATTCATGATGGAAAAGGATGGAAAAAATGTTTGGTCTCGAAATTAAGCAAATTAGATTCTCAATTTCCTTTTGTTCATACATCTTTCTATCATCTTCTCTAGTTCTCTGTATGATTTAAGATTTGCAGTTAATTGATCCAGTGGTTGATTGGTTCTTTAAATGCTTTCTAGCTGATATCTACTTGCTTTTCTTTTTTTTTTCTTAACTTTTTTAGAATCTGATGCAAGCAGTTTCAATACTAGTGTAGCTGATCAGCAAGTAGGTTTGATTCTCCTTTGAAGGCCATTGCTCCACAGTGAAATCCTTTCTCATTGTTTCAATACTAAGGAAACTGGACTGTAATGTTTCCTCTGTAGTTTCATTCTTCCATGCGCATATTGTTGACTCTACCCGATTTCTCTTTTTAATTTTTACTAAATTTATGGTTTTGGATTGAGATCAACTATAAAAGTCTGCTATATTTGTTCTTTTCAAATCTTTCTGCAAACTTTAGTAGGCCTCTAAATTTAAAGGAATAAATAAAACAATCTTGTGAGGGATCTTGCTTATGTATATGCTTAGATCATGATATCCAAATATTGGTTAATGTAATGGCTAGTGATTGATGTTTCTATAATTGTTGAGGAAAGTTTGGGTTTGTATATCTTGCATGTTAGAAGTAGAATATGCCCTTAATTACCTTCTTTCCTAAGTAATCCATGTGTTTTCTGCGTAGTTCATTTTTATTGTCTGTTTTAAAATGCTTCCTGATATGTTTCCAGGCTGTACTTGAGACTGTAGCTAAAATCACTCATGAGAAGGGGAAGAGAAATGATACTCAAGAGGCAAAGTATGGAAATGCATTTCTTTTTGGAGCAAAAAACATTTTATTGAATAGATAATGTTTTTTACTTTTATGACTTAACAATTTTTTCCACATATTAAATTTTCAATAGTGGCACAAGTTCATTCCAGATTCAAGATGTTTTTCCCCTGGAAAAAGAAGATTCGGATGAGACAACGGCCTTGATTGACAAAAAGGTGGACCGTATGTTACCTTTTTCTCTTATGTTTATATGAGGATCTATAACACAGTTTTAAGTAGGTTTTTTTATTATAATTTAATCCTTTCTTTGATCGTAAGATAATGTCTTTGTAATCTCAAATAAAAAATCCAAGTATCCAGTACTCCAAGTTGATTTGAGGTTAGCATCTTCATCTCCTTTATCCTCGCATTATCCTTAGTAAATTGTTTAATATAAAATAAAACGAAGCTGTAATACATTGTATTACCCTTGGGCAGATTGATATCAGATTTGGTGGTTGTCATAGTCTCTGCTGCCATTGGTGGTATTATCTTTTCATGTCTGGGGCAACCGGTTTGCATCTCTGCAATTAGTATTTGTTTCACTTTGCATTGAATAACCATTTACTTTATCTTGAGTTTGATATGCAGCTACACCAAGGATGTTGTAATAACAGAAATTGCATTTCTTTGCTTTTCTAAATGTATACATGGGATAGGTTATTGTGGGATATCTTCTAGCGGGTTCACTGATTGGACCAGGAGGTTTGAAATTCATTAGTGAAATGGTATGGGTTAGTTGTTATTAATAGCTTGAGATTGTTGTTTTATAAAATCAAAATATTATATGACTCAGTCTTTGGGTATGCACTATTTTCTACTGTTGAGATTGCCTCACTGATGTGAAGGGGAACATGCTTTATGAGCCATCTGGCAAAGATGTTGCCTTGGAAGATCATTTTTCCTTTGTTAACAAGTTCCTGAGACTCGCAGTTTTGAAATTTATATCCTCAAAAATGTTTTTTTTTCCCCTTACATTTATACATTGAAAATTTCAACTGATAGCAAATAATAATGCCTAAACTATATCATCCGAAAATTCATTCTTTGATGCCTGTTTGCAGAAATTTGCAATCAGTGATAGGGTTTTCCATATTGTTATTATTTTGGTGTTATGATCTTTCTCTTTTCATCTTTTGTTGGTTGAAACTGTTGCACAGTTTGGTGTTGTCTTTCTTCTTTTGGCTCTTGGGCTAGAGTTTTCTTTGGCAAAGGTAGGATATTTTCAAATTCGTTGAGTTCTTATTTGTCAGATGCTTTAGCTTGCTTAGAAATTTCTGTATCTCATTTAAAGAAAGCTGTTCCAAATAATTTTTATTGCAGTTAAAAGTTGTGGGGGCAGTTGCTGTCTTTGGGGGACTACTTCAAATTGTGATATTTTTGTTCTTGTTTGGCATAATTGCAGTGGTATGGTGTTGCAAGTGCTTGGGTTTCCAATTAAGAACAGCTGTAAAATGGATGCTAAATTTAGACATCTCTCAATCTTGCAGTTATGTGGAGCAAAATTGTCTGAGGGTGTATTTGTTGGCTCCTTCCTCTTAATGTCATCAACTGCAATTGTGCTTTTCTATACCATTTTACAATGCTAGTATTTTTCTTTTATTCTTGGTTGCTACTTGTTGCATCTAATAGTCATCCATTCTTATATTTTTATCAGGTTGTGAAGTTTTTAGTTGAACAGAGTAGCACTAATGCTCTCCATGGTCAAGTTACTGTTGGGACTCTAATTTTTCAGGTTGAAGAGAAGTGATGACCTATCAACAATTTAATTACAATTTGGATTCAGAACCTTGATTTAATTCCCTTAACTCTGGTCATTTCAGGATTGTGCTGTTGGCTTGTTATTTGCTTTGCTCCCAGTTTTGGGTGGTAGCAGTGGCTTACTACCTGGGATGATTTCAATAGGAAAGCTGTAAGTTTCTTTTGGTTTTTCCATCTATTCCGTTTTTCTTATTGTGATCCTTCCTTTTCTATCCCTTCTTCCCAAAAGCAGCTTTTGATCTATTGTTGGTGGTTGACTTTACATAAAGGGTAGGTTTGGAATCTGACACTCACTAATGATCAAGGTCAGGATGCTGGTATTATCGATATATCTTACTGTTGCATCTGTATTGTCTTGGTCGTTTGTTCCTTGCTTCCTAAAGTTAATGATACAGATATCATCTCAAGTAAGTTCTTTTAACATATTTATCTCTCACTCTTTGTAACCTTTTTTGTATAGTTTTTAAAATATTAATTCATTTTGGTTTCAATTTATGATCCAGACAAATGAACTTTATCAGCTTGCTGCTGTGGCTTTCTGCTTATTGTCTGCTTGTGTAATTGTTCTGCTTGCCATGATTACAACTGCTGTATCACTGCATGTAAAATCTCCGAACAACTTTTTAACACACTTGAATTTCTGTAATCTTCACAGTGCAGTGATAAGCTGGGTCTCAGCCTTGAGTTGGGTTCATTTGTTGCTGGAGTTATGATATCTACTACTGACTTTGCACAGCATACTTTAGACCAGGTAATCACTGGCTATGGACAGGGTCCTTACCTATGTCATTAATCTAATATTTTTAGCTTTCTCTGAAGGATTTTATGCTGTTTCACTTTTCAATTAGTTACTTAAAAGTTTTTAAGGCTTACCTTGTTTGCTTTTTAGTCTATAGGGGCACAAATGAACGTCTATGAATGCACCTGGTCTGTTGTATTTTGAGTCAAGGGTTCATACGTTATTCATCTTAATTTATGCTAGTGGTTCACTTGTTTATGGACAATAGATAAAGTATGCAGTTTGTTATGGGGGATTGAGTCTTAAATAGGATAAGTGGCTTAAGTGGCTGCATTCCTTTGTTTAATGCAGGATTCTCTCTATTATGAGTCAGGTTTCTATTCTAGGAGGAATGATGAAATTAATGCTTTTTCTGGATATGATGCTTTTTGCAATTTGTAGGTGGAACCAATTCGCAATCTATTTTCTGCACTCTTCCTTTCTGGTATTGGGATGCTCATACATGTACGTTTTCTGTGGAACCATGTGGATATATTATTGGCAGCTGTTATTCTAGTTATTGTTGTTAAGACAGCTGTTGCTGCTGTGGTCATTAAGGCTTTCGGATATAGTTTCAGGACATCTTTCCATGTAAGTTTGTTTGCTCATTCAATGCAGAAAGAACATGTTGTTTTTACATAGTTTGTGCATACTTGCTATTTGTACATCTATGATATAGGTTGGAGTGTTGCTTGCTCAAATTGGAGAATTTGCTTTTGTTCTTCTAAGTCGCGCCTCAAATCTTCACCTTGTTGAGGTACCTATCTCTTTCTTGCCCTGTAAAAATGTACATGTTTGTGTCTTTGCATGTACGATAAAGTTTTTTCTTGTTTCTTTATGATTGATCTCATTACTTATCCTTGCATTATTCCTTTTAGAATCTTTATATAGACTGACATTTGACCATATTTTGTGCTTGAGTTAAGAATAAATATGTCAGATTATATGCAAAAATCATTTGAGAATCAAATATGCAAATTTAATACCAAAGAACTGGTCTAGTGTGAGTTGAAAACAACAACCAAGTGCATGGAGTTGTTTCTATGCTTTTATTACTATACTTGGAGGCCTTGAAGTTAAATCTGCTGTTGTTTGGAATTTGAAGTGGATAAGGGGCAGTGAGTGAATGAAGATGTCATATGCCTCTATGCAAGGTGGTTTTTGAGTGTGCTTTTTGATTATTTATTTGGGAAGCAGGAGTGCCCAGTGAGGGGAGGGGGGTTTCTACTCAGAAAGCCTCATTACGACTGTTTCTACCATATAGAAGAAAAAGAAGAATAACTTTTTGTGATGCTTCAGTAATGCATGAAATGGTTCAGCAACAAATTACATTTAAATGAGGTTTTTTTTGCAATAAAATCTCATAGCAGTAGCATATTTCTTTTGTTGCTTCCATTCTGACACTTTCTAATATCTTATATTTTAATTTTTTGAGAATGTGTTAACTTCATTATCATTGCAATTGTTTTCTTGCAATATTGGCTTGAATTTGGCTGATGCTGAAGGGAAAGATGTATCTTCTTCTTCTTGGAACAACAGCTCTTAGTCTGGTAAGTTTCTCTGATATGAAAACTACTCTTTGAAGCTTTATGGTATGCTTTTCTTTACCCCCCTTTCTTGGCTGCAAGCCTGCAACATTACTGGTCGCAAATTATGATTCTGCAGGTGACAACTCCTCTTTTGTTCAAATTGATTCCTAATGTGATGAACTTGGGTGTTCTTTTGCAATGGTTTCCCTCAGAGAGCAGCTCACAAAATGAGGTCTCTTTCTCTTCTTTCTGTTTTTATGCATATACATTATTCTCACATGTGCACCCTCAGCGTGTCAAGATCCCAAGTGGGAGTGGTGAATCCCACATTAGCAATCTAATAGAGTTCAACTGGGTATATAAGTTCAACTGGGCATGTAATTGTCCACACCATCTTTAATTTAAGATGTGCCTTCTGTGGGAAAAACTATGATGCCCAATGCGTAGAGGCGAACATACCTTGCAGAATGGTGTGGACCGTGACAAAAATGACAGATCTTTGTTTATAAGGTTAAGCCATCATGAACTATCATGAAGTTATCTACCTTTTTCCTCTGCTTATAGACTTCCATCAAAACAAATTTAAACCTGGATATGAGCATTTGTCTTCTTTTAGTATCTATAGTGATATCACTTCACCCATTGACTCTGTCTACCGAAGTTTTCATGCTACTCCAGGTGAAGATCCATATTAACAGAAAGTATTTAATAGATAGATTCTAGCTAAAGCGAACTTAAAGTATTTAATGTAGGAAGGCCTTTTAGTTGTTTTCAGCTTTAAATCAGAGTTGCATAATTGTACAAACGAAACCTTTGGTGTTTACTGAAATCAACATTGCATGGCAATCTTTTTCGATTTAAACATTCTCAAATGTTGAGCAGTTAAAACAGTAACTGCTTTTTAGAGAATATAGATTCATGTGTTTATATCATTTTATTTACTAATGTTTTGCAGGAGAAAGGTTCCATCATTGAAGCACATAACAGATTATTGTGACCTACCATGTTATGGTCGTCAGTTTATACTGGTGTTACACCATAGAGCTTAGTCATCTGCAAGTATTTAGGGTTTAATAGCACTACCAATATCATTGTTGGGGTTTCTGACAACACTTCACGGTGTCGGTTCCATTGGAAGTCAGCTGAAAGTTCTCTTGTACATTTATATATATTCTTTATTATTCTTTGTATATGATTTTGTATTTTGACCACTCACGAGTTCAATCTAATCCTTGTGTCATGCTGTGAGTTGCAACCCCTATACACAAATTACTGCTGGAGGGTTACTCGAGCTCGACAAAAATGAGTTACAGTCGATTATAATTTACAAAAGATGTCTCCTTTTGTGACAAATTTATGAATCTGTGCTGTACCCAGCTACATATTTCGATTGTACAAATTATAATAGGGGTGATTTGTTATTAGAATGTTTGGATTTTTTTTGAGATTTAATCTTCAGCAATGTCAAATATAAAAAAAAAAAAATCTACATCTTTATCGAGCTATATTTAACAAGGGTCATTGAGTTTGTTACAGTTTATAGTGATTTATAATTTTGGGTCAATTGTTATTTCAAAAAAGTAATAATAATAATAATTTTGAGTCAATTGATGACTGCATTTCTTTTATTTATATGCGAAGGATGTATATATAGTGTTGTAGTCATCTAGGGACTGTTTCAGATGCAGAATTCATTGAGCTGTCCGGTTGGCTCATTGTTTTGCTAGATTAAGCCTGCGGATTATTCAATTTTAGCTTTGCATTTTAGATAACAGATTTTGTAATATACATATCAGTTTTTAAATTTTCATTTGGTATTACCGGTGAAAGTAGTTTTTTTTGTTTAAAAACTGTTTTTACTTAAACATAATATTAAACTATAAAGAATTTTGACAAATCAAAAAACTTCTTAAATGATGAAAAAGTGCTTTTAAAATGAAAATTATTTTATTATCTCTATATTTTTAATATTTTAATAGTTTATATATAAATTTAAATATTTTAATTATTTACAACACCTTTTATTAAATACTTAAAAATTTTAATCGAATTTTTTTCACAATACCTTTTAAATATATTTTTTTCAATAAAAATAACAGTTTAGATCGTATCGAATTAGGTTTAATTTTTTAATATTACATAATATTTTAAAAATTTAAAATTCGATCCAAAACAAAATCAAATTTTTATTCAATCTGAATCAAATTTTACAATTCGATTTGATTTATCGATTTTTAAATTTTAAATTTTTATATATTATTTTAATATATTTAATAAATTTTGATATAAAATTATTATTTTTATTTCATAAAAATTTAAAAAATATATAAAAATTAAAAATATATAAAATTCCATTTAATTTAATTTTTTTTAATTTTTTATCTTCTAATTCAAAATCTGATTTAAATATAATATACACATTTAATATTTAAATTTAATCTAAATTAAATAAAAAATTAATCTAAACTAAATCGAATATTATAATTTTAAATCAATTTCTAATTTTCTTATTTTTTTTTCACCTTTACTTTTTTCGACACGCGTAAGAAATGCTAAACTAACTCATCTATTTTGGTTTTTCTGGTTCTTTCTTTCTGTCTTCATATTTTTTTAGATGGGTCTTGAAAACTTTAAAGCCCAACAGTTGATGGGCTTCAATGCGTTTCTATATAAAAATAAAATAAAATAACTTCTATTCAAAGAAAGAGCAAAGCAATGTAAATTTTAAGCTCGCTTGCAAACCGTTGATACTGTCGGCAGAAAAAAATAAAGAGGAAAACAAAATTCGATAAACGGCCAAGATGTTTCCACGTGGCATTCTAGAAAGATCGATGGAAAGGAGGGCCAGTACCAGAGCAGCGAATCTGAAGTCCCAGGTAAAAACAGGAAACCATAAACTTTTAGAAAATACCCCTCGCATGACTTTCCATTTCCCCACCATTCCGTAAAAGAGAAAAATGGCAGATCAACCTGTTAAGCATCGGTGCCAGCGAATCGGCTGCAACGCTACGTTCACCGAAGACGATAATCCAGAAGGTTCCTGCACATACCACGATTCGGTATGCCTCTCATTTTACCCATTCTAAATCTTTGTTATTCTTTTTTTCCTTTTTTTTTTTTTATAGCTTGTGATTGAATTACCAATTATCGGTGCGTTACATCACTTCAATACAACGACTTGATGTATTGACCATTTAATTGAAACATTCGAATAAAAAATCAGAATCTATTGAACCTCTTGTTGACCAATATTTTTAGTCTTGAAATGCGACAATTTGAATTTTTTTTTTCTTATAGATTACGAAGATACTTTTGATTTTTTGCTTGCATAGTTTAGACCTAGATTTGCTTAAAATAATGTTTCCTCATGTGATTTTCGGTTCCCAGTAATAACTTGGGCAAGTTTGCGTTATCCCTCTTCTTTTCTATCCTTGCAGTTTCGGAAATGTAACCGTGGATTTATGCGAAATGTTTTCCAAAATTTGACTGAATAACTTGTTCTTTTTGTTATTAATTGCAAAAGCTTATAGTTTTAACTAATTCTATTACTTTTTCTACAATGAGTGATAACTTTCAGCTTGTGTTTGTGGTTTATCCTTTTTTTTGTCCCTACTGGAATCAGGGTTACTAATCATAAACAGTGATGACTTTTACAGTGCCTGACATGATATTAGTGTTGTTTTTTTTTTTTTTTTTAATATGAATTTTGGAATGTCATTATGTCATGTGGATCAGGCTGACTTTTTTTTTTTTTTTTTTTGTTTATTGTCTTGCATGTTGGCTTGGTTCCGCTGCATGGGCAAATTTATGCAATCAGGCCGTAAATAGAAATTTATGAAAATAAATGGTTTTATTATTTTAAAAATATCCTATGCATCTTCATTTTCAGCTGATAACGCAAATTTAATTTCTTTTTCCAGCCTATATTTCATGATGGAATTAAAGAGTGGAGTTGTTGCAAAAAAAGAAGTCATGATTTCAGCTTATTCCTAGAAATTCCAGGGTATGTACCTGTGTTGATTCCTTTAGGTCTTGGACTATGATTCATGCTGCTGTTCTTGAGTAGGTAATATAGGAAGAGGAAGTTCAATGCTTGATAACTTTAATCATCTATTTGCATCTAGTTAATATTAGTTTCTCTTCAATTTTTTTTTTACTGCAGATGTAAGACAGGTAAGCACACAATCGAGAAACCAGTGTTAACTAAGCCAGCTGCTTCGAAGAACTATCCAACTTCTAGTCCTGCTTTTACTCTTGCTTCCACTCCAACATCAAAAGAATCTTGCGCTAGGTGTCGTCAGGGTTTCTTTTGCTCTGATCATGGTATCAGTGGCTCTTTCTCACTCCAATATTTTAGACTATCAGCAATTCATGTCTGATTTACCATATTAAAAAAATTTGTCATTTAGGTCTCTTATTTTCATGGATATAATCTTAAATAGGGTACAATGGCACATTATGATCTCACTGAGAAAAAGCTTAATATGTTGTTATATGGGCATGGTATCAGTAGCTCTTTCTCACTTACTGTTTTAGACTATCAGCAATTCATGTCTGCTTTACCATATTAAAAAATAAAAAGTTGTTATTTAGGTGTCTTATTTTCATGGATATGATCTTAAATAGGCACAATGGCACATTATGATTTTACTGATAAAAAGCTGAATACGTTGTTATATAGGTACTCCTTTTCCTTGGTCAATATACTAACTTCATGTGTCAAGTGGTTAAAAGAAATTTGCTAGTGCATCATCCTTCTCTTATCTTTGGTGAGAGTAAATGCCATTTTTGTCTTGAGAGATTGGCAAGTCATTTAATTATCTCTCAAAATTAAATATTTTAGTTTGTAATTTTATTGTGTGGTAATCTTCCAACAATAATACTTGCTGCAAAAGGAAACTATTGGAGTCTTTGATTCAAACCATGGTTTCCTTCAGAAACCTGAATACGATTAATGGTTGGTTTCCAAGGAAAGCTGAACTTTCACTGGGTCATGTTGTTCAGTTTTGAGGTTTACTTTTTGCAAGCGTTAAGTGATAATATCTGAATATTCTGGATATCTTAGAAGTTGAAGTCATTAATTATTTATTCTAGTAGGGAAAATAATTGATCTTGTTCAGATACGTTGCTATGCAATCATATATAGAGCTGAAGCATGTTACTGTACTTTGTAGGTTCACAGCCCAATGAACTGAACTCTACCCCAGCTGCACTGGCTGAGGGCAGTGCAGATTTTCAGGGGTCTTCTCCTCCACCAAAGAAGATAATTGATATAAACCAGCCTCAGACTTGCAAAAATAAAGGATGTGGTAAAGTTTTCAAAGAAAAAGATAACCATGATACTGCATGCAATTACCATCCTGGGCCTGCTGTTTTCCATGACCGAATGAGAGGGGTAAGCAATAATCTTTCGTTATGATGAAATGTTGTTAGTCATTACAATATTTTAAATATTGTTAGCATGTCCTTTTCCTTTTTACCAACCTTTATTGACTCCCTATCTCTTTGCAGTGGAAGTGCTGCGATATTCATGTAAAGGAATTTGATGAGTTCATGACCATTCCACCATGCACCAAGGGGTGGCACAATGCTGAGCCAGTGTCCTAGACCATAGGCACGAGGAATGAGTTCCTGTTATATTAAGAGGTTTCCTTTTTCTTTTCTTCTATTATTTTTCTGAGGGAGGTGGGGTTGGTTGGTAACTTGAACATTCCCTCCCTCACATGAACACATGCTCTACATTTTTAGATTACGAACAGCAACTGCAATCTAGGATGAATTATCAATGTGTTGGAACTGTTTTGCACTCATCTTGCGACTAAAACGTTGAGCCTATTGACCGTTGTGATTGTGGTATATGGACGTGCTACATTTTTGAAATAGATTCATAATGTGAAGTCATGTTCATGTGCCGGTTCCGCCATCTGAAATTCAATAGGTTACACTATTGAACTTTATCAAGTTTCCAATCTGCCAAGTGCGGGCTTTATTTTCAAAGCGGTCAGGCTGTGGCATGTCCGAGGTGACCATGGATCATTCGACCTTAAAAGACCAGGCCGATAAAGCCTGGATTTGCGAAGCCCGTAAAGATGGAAGTTCTTCATTTTGTAGTAAAGATAGAAGTTCAACATTTGGTGGTCTGATGTAGTTGGTGTTAATTTGGTTAGACTGGTTAATTTTGAAGTGAATCGAAATATTTAAAATTGAATTAATTAAATTTTATTATTTTATTTTTGTTCATCAAATTTATTCGAAAATTAATCATCCAATTAAATTTGATTAATTTTGTTAATTTTTTTAGTTAATTGAATAATAAATATATTTAATTTAAATTATATTTTAAATTATAATTTTATTTTATATTTAAAATAAATTAAATAAAATCATTCAATAAAATATTAAGGTAAAAATTATAACATTTAAAATAAAATAATTTATTTTATGTATTTTTAGTTCTATATTCGAAATTTATTATATTTCAATTAAAATTTTTGTTAATTTGATTTGAGTCAAATTAATTGGAAATGGAAAATTTTTTAAAATTATTTTTTTAATAAATTAAAATTAATTTAATAATTAATCTATTAATTGAATTAAATTAATTTGATTTATTAATTTAATTAAAATTAAATTTTGAATATTCATAAATAACAACAGTAACTTTCAACTTTCAAATGAAAGAATAAAACAATGAAATTTGGTCTAACCTGGTTATAACGTACTTGGGTCTTAGTTTATTACACATCAAACCCAAATCTCAATTATGTCCAAAAGTAGAGGAGCGCATACCAGAGGCAATTACCACCAATAATGGCTTCACGGGTCCTATGAGCGTACACAAAAGGATTATTGCCTCCTCCGCTCCGCCCCGGATATGAATAATAAAATTTAAATAATTTAATTTATTTATTAAACCAAATTTAAATATTTTTATATATATAATTAAAGTAATTTATGAACTTAATCAAATTTTTATATTTTAATATATTTTTATAATTTTAATTAAATAATATTTTTAATTTAAATTTAAATATAAATAATTAAATTTTTATCGAATATAAAAATTAAAATTATTTTTATATATTAATCAAATTTAATTGAATAAATTTAAATAATTTAATTTTTATTTTAAATTAAATTTAAATTAAAGTAATAAAATATAATCGAATTCAAATTTAATTTTAAACTAAGTTGAAGCTCGAGTTTAATTCGAATCAATCTCAATGGATTATATCCGTACATTGGCCTCTCACTTGCCTAACCTTCACTCTTTCTCAAACGGCAAATTTCTCCTCTCCCGCAGGTCATGACCCTGACCCGCTCTATCCAACACCTCAACCCAGAACTAGAAGTTCAACTCCGAAAACCCACCGGAGCGACCGCGGCTCGATTGGACTGGTTCGCAAAACCGAACGACTCGCCGTATTATATCGAGTTGGATAAGGCCTCGGAAATCCGTATGATAGAATAGGTAACCCGGATGAGTTTATCCAGCTTGGCTTGTCAGAGAATAGATTAAGCATTGCTTTTAAGTTTTAAACATAGTTCTATAGCGTGGCGTATATTAATTGTAATTGTTTATTTTTTGTTTCTTTCTTTTAAAATTTTTTTTCCCAGTTGTGTTTTGATTTAATTGAGAAATGGATGTTCGATAATGGGAAGAGAGGATGGTGATTTGAGCATTAGCGTGATTGCCACTTACCATCCTTTTGATGGAATAATGGAACTCAAACTGGTAATTTCGACATCTCTATAATTCTTTAAAAAAATTTTATTGGTTTTATTGAACGTTTAACATTTTGGAACAATGGATCTTTAACATTTTAAACCTTCCCTCTAAAGTAATCACTTAAATTGTTGCTTTTTGGAATGAATTAGATATTTGGGGTTGAATTATTTCTTGTCATTCTATGGGTGAAAATGTTATCAATCATAAGTTAAAATATTCATTGGGAATAATGAGCGATTTCTTAGAACTTTTGTGTATCATCTTTGGTGGAAAAGAGAGGTTAAAATGTGTGGAGGGATACAAATTTGCATGTTTTCCTGTGTTAATTGTTATCATATAAGGACACATGGAAAATGAATAAATCTAATTGGTTTAAGAGCTTAAGAATCAGAGATGCTATGTAAGAACAATTTCTTAGTTTAGCTTTAAACCAGTGAATGTTGTCAAAATCTGATTATGGGGCCCAACATTTTTTGGGACTGTGAGATGGTTGCAAACTGAATATTTGCATTTGTATTTCATAGACTGTTGAGTCTTTCTATAATGGAGCTAACTTTCATATCTTTTTCTCACATTCATTTATATTGGTGGTGGAGATTAAGAGATGTGGGGCTATGATGGAAGCAGTATGCTTTTGTAGTTTATCCTTTCGATTATCACGTTTAGCAACAATCATTTTATACATAAAGAATTAGACTGATGCACTGGGAATGCCTTTGAGACTGTCTGGTGTTATTTCTATTTATTCTGTTATTTGGATTTTGCAAGCTATGGCAGGTTTTATGTCTCGTGTTATGGGAGGAGCTGTCTCATTTGAACTTTCACAGATGGTTTTAACTGCTAGTGTATCTCCGGCAATTGAGACATTATGCTTCTGCCTAGCAGATCATGGAAATGCATTTCTTGTTCCCACACCTTATAACTATTTGACCTTCGTTCCGAGACTTTATATGATTATAAATACTCTTTTCTGAACTGGAAAGCACTCCCCCCTCCCAAAAAAAAAAAAAAAACACGCACACGCACAAACAAAAGGGTATAGTAAGAAAGAAAGGAAAAACAATGGTCCTATTAGATTAATTAGAAAAAGTCTCTGCAGTTTTGACAAGGATGTGAAATGGCGAACATGAGTGGAGCTAATGCCTGTCCATTGTCGCAGAACTGACAATTTCATGTTTAAGTATCACTGCACTTGATCAAGCATTCAACCAGACAAGAAAATGAGGAACAAAAATTCAGGGAATTCTCCTTTCATACCTGCAAATCCTGTTGGCAGTCTACTTTCTCAGAAGATGTTTTATGATCTTTTGGACTTTGCTCAAGAAAAGATTATCCACATCATATCAGATGAAATATTTGCAGGGTCTATGTGTGGGAATGAAGACTTTGTCAGCATGGCTGAAGTTCTTGATTCAGAGGATTTTGATAAAAACAGGGTTCATATAGTTTATGGGCTATCAAAGGACCTCTCTCTTCCAGGATTTACGGTTAGAATGATCTATTCATTTAATGAGAATGTTTTGGCTGCTTCTAGAAAGTTAACTAGGTTTTCTTCTATTTTTGCTCCGATCCAAAAGTTATTAGTTTCAATGCTTTTGGATACAAGATTCATTGAGGAATATATTGAGACCAATAAAAAGTGGATACAAAATATGCGTGATTTATTTGTGGCTGCTCGGGAAGTATGAGGCATTAGATGTGCAGATAGCAGTGCTGGCTTGTATTGTTGGGCTGATATGAGCAAATTAATCCCCTCTTACAGTGAGAAAGGGGAACTTGAGCTATGGGATAAGCTATTGAATGTGGCTAAGATCAATGTAACTCCTGGTTCAGCTTGCCATCACATAGAACCAGGATGGTTGTCAGGTGGATATTCCTGTAGTTGTGGAATGGACTAGAAAAGTTGCTGATAACCGTACATCATGCAGTTGAAAATACTTTATATCTTTTAAATTCAAGCTAATTGCATTGATCACTGGTAGGATTTCTGTGTCATAGATATTCCTTCTGTGGCTAAACAAGAGGGTTTAGGCATGCACAATTTCTAGGTTGGATCTTCAACATAGATGACTCCCTTGAAGTTCTTGCAGCTTAATTATAACATTGTTACATTCCAGGCTTGTAAAATCATTTACATCCTAATTTTCTGAAGCAAGACTAATGATTTTGAAGTTCTTGGTGTACTGTTTTTAGGGTGGTCTTGAACAGTAAAGCCGATTGAACCTCTTGGCCTCTTCTACAAGAATTTCAGTCTTGGTTGGAACTTCTTCAATTGCAATCCTTCGATCAATTTGATGCCAGTTCCAAAGATGCAGCATCCAGGAGCTCTTTCCTTAAGAAATTCCTTTCATAGTTTCATCCAAGCAAGAGTAGAATGTCATTAGCAGATCTTGAGCAAAGTAGTAGATAATTAGAAATACAACTTTTTTGTTTCTATGCTAGTTCCAAAAGGGGATGGTTTTTGGACAAAAGAAAAGAAAGATCATTTGAAATGCATAATTTTTTGCTCCTTTAATGAAAAAGCAGTTTTGTTTTAGAGTTTAGACATACGTCCCAGTTGTTCTATAGCAGCTTAATCAGGCAATAGTAATGGCAAAACAAGGAACGGGAATATTTAGAATTACCATTGATAGATGCTTCTCTCTTATTTGAACAGCCTTTCTTTGATAACTCTTCCTTCTGCTCATCATTATCAACTCTCCTAGTGTTGGTGGCCTCCTTATGACTACAGTGTTATTATTCCCACAATCAAAATCACTTTGTGCATGAGACACCTGGTCATGGTACCTGACCTTTTCAAGGAAACCAGAATTAGGTGGAAGCAATGGAAAAAGGCGTTCCAAGAAAGAAGCCCCTACAAGGCTTGAAGTGCTAGTTGCATAGCTGCTTGTACTACTTTCAGTATCCGAAGCTGGTGAGGGAGGTGTTTCCAGATAACTACTGTTATCTGTCTGGTAAGTTTTCTGCACTGGAACAGCAGTGGAAATCGCCGTTGATGCTACAAGGCAATTTGCCAAGAGGGATGGAGCTGAGCTAAAGGAATCATCTGTTTCAAAACCAAATGCTTCGAGATCCATTTCAAACACCACTTGTTGTTCATCACTGCCATCACTTCCATCATCATTGCTGTTGCAGCCGTTAAAATAGGCTGGAGAGTATACTGGAGGTGGAGGCAGAGTCATGAGCATTGCTGATGGGGGCACAGCTGCTGGTTCCACCGGAGGCTGGGAGAAGCTGGGTAATGGTGTACCGGGCTTTTCCTCCCAATTAAAGGGAACTGAGGCTATAAGCTTGATTGGAGTTGGAGGTGGTAATGTTGTAGTAACTGAAGAAGCTGTTGGTTTCCAATCTTTCTTTGCTATTCCTGGCCTCACTTCCCAAAGGAATGGAACTGAAGGTGGCTGCCTGATTTTCCTTTTGTTAGAATGTCCTGTGGCTTCCTTCTCTGCCATTCCGAAATAACTCCAATGGTCCGTTCTACATTAGACTTTGTATGCAATCTTTTCCTATATATTGTTGGTGCTAAGTGGATTAGAAGAGTTTGCTACAATACGAAACCTCCGAACTGCACCATTCCTGAGCTTGAAAAGGTTTGTTCACCTGCTCTCTGTATATCTCGTGTCAAAGAGGGATTTGAGAATTCAGAGCACCTTGGTTTTGGATTTGGTCGGTCAAACTGCGCTAAAAGTGGTCGTACTAACTTTATTCAGCATTATTACGAGTTAATAGATACTAATTTTAGTTTCAGTTTTGTGGTTTAAAGGTTAGGAACATTAATTTAAGAAACAGCCAATGCAAAATAAAGATAGGCCCCGAGACCCACAACTTGGCACTGATTTGTGAGTTACAGACTTAAGATGAAAAACATCAATGGCATCCATTTTTAACCTTGCCACCTTTGCTTCTATGTTCCCTCGGATGGGCGTTCATGATCAACTAAGATATAATCCACAAGCACGAGAGAGACCTAAAGCCCCTTGCATTATTCAACATGCCTTGCCTGTTCTATTTACGCGTCTCAGTTTTCATTTCATGCACTCCCATTGTATTTCACATAAAACCCTAATTCATTAAGAGACTTAACGTTTGCTTCAGCGATGAAAATTTGATTCCCTGCTCTTCCAAAGGGTGAGGATCATGCCTGTTTCCTAAAACTTCCATCAAGCTGCTGCGGCAGCCACTGGTGGACGCTAGCAGAGAATTCGTCCACAGATACGCTGGCTGGCTTCGAGATTTTATTATTAAATAACCTAAAGATAAGGTAATCCATTTAAGACGAATATTTTATAAAGTAAGAAAAAGAATTCATGGAATGGGGGCGGCGCAAATTTGTATCATAAGATGCCCATCACATGTCATCTCTAACAATCTTTTTGGATATTATTAGAAACCAATCGCTTGTAGCAGATGGGATATCAGGGGCCATAAAGAGGAGACGAAAGAGTGGGAAAACTGGGAGCATCCACTTAACCTATAATTTAATTCAATTGGTATATGCCATCAGAGAAGTATTATTCACGATTCGAATTACAACGTTTACGATCTTTTCTCATATTTTCCTTCTCTTCTCAGGATAAGACTTTGTATGTAAAAAAATAAAAATAATAAAAAAAAAAGAATATTGATTAAGTTAGTAAGAATGCGAGCAATCCTCTTTGATGGATGATTCTATAAATTGAATGCAAATCTTTGTTAAAAACCGTGATATGCTGTAATCTTAGAATTTGATAACCTCTTCTTACTTAAATTTTTTTTTTATCAAAAAATTAAGAACATTTATGAGAAAAACTAAATCTTAATTAGTCAATCGTGAAACTATGAGCTGTACAATGTCAATATGAACATAATATAATGAAGATGCCACGAGAGGAGGAATTTGTGCTAGCTAGATCCTTTATGAAAATTAAAAGATTAATAGCATTCGTAGTATTTAAATTTTATTTTAATTTTTAATTTTAAAAAAATTCAAATCCAATCCTCAATTGCCTAAAATCGTTTTATTTTATTTTATTTTTTCTATGAAATCATCTAATTTGACATTAAATTTTAATTGATATCATATTAATGACAACAATTAACGTCTCACATAACAGAGAGAGGGATCAAAATAAAATTGCATTCAAAGTTTAAGGAATAATGATATTACAATCTCAAATTTTTATATTTTAGATGTATTATAAAGTATTAAATTTAAAATATATTTTTAATTTTTATTGTAATATAATTTATTAATTAAATATTTTTAATAGAAAATTAGTTTTTAAAATTAAAAATAATTTAAAATTTTCTAAATCCTTTTGAAAAAATTTCATATCATTTTAAAATATTAAACAAAAATTTCTATATCAGTTTTAAAGAATTGATTTATTAATCTATTCATAATTTTTTTCTATTGAAAAATTTTATTTTAAATATATTCTTTATTAAAACTTTATATTTATAAAAAGTAAAATATTGATAATTTAAACGGCCATTATCGTTGCTGATTCAATAAGGGAAAGAAATCAGGTTACTAAAAATAATATTTTTATTTTATCTAAATATAAAATTTTTAATAAAAATTAAATTCAAAATGGACTTTTTGGATAGAAAATATATTTTTTAATCGATTAATTTCTTTTTAAATGAAATGAAAATTTTTAATTAATATTTTAAAATGATATGTGGTTTTTTATTTAATTTTTTATGCTCGATATAGAATTATTTATTTATTTATTTATAAATGTGTAGAAATTTTTAAAAAGGATTTTGAATTCTTTAATTTAATTTTAATTTTTTAAAATATATTTTCTATTAAAAATATTATTTTACTAATAAATCAAATCATAATAAAAATAAAAAATTATTTTAAATTATAATATGTTATAAAATTATATGAAATATAAAAATATTTGAAATATAGGAATATTTTTTAATTATTTTTATTTTTTCTTTTTCCTTCTTTATAAAATATATTTTACAAAATATATTTGAAAAAAAGAAAAAAAAGATATGTAATATTTTAATAAAAACCCAACTAGGCTTTTTTTTCCCTTTTATTGCTACATAAAAATAAATCCAACGAGGCTTGAAAGAGCACTTGAACTTCAATAATAATGTTATTAATTAGATGACGAATAGTACACCAAATGCTTTACTAAATTTGGGGAATTACAAAATACCAATTTTTTATAAAAACTTACCAAAAAAAACCAAAAATATTTTCTATTATGTAAATTTATTTTAATTTTATATTGTTTAATTTGCCTAAAGTATAAGAATCTAGTAAGTATAAGCTAAGTGTTTCATTCATCATGGTCCATCATTCGTCGCCAAGCTCTATATTAATTATCTACTGTATCCAAAAACAATGTGTCTAGATCTAATAATTCGTATTTTTATATCGTATTTGATATATATAAATTATACGAATTATTAAAATACGAATATAACATGAATTATAAAATATATTTAACTCATAAATAAAAATATGATACGTTTATTATATTTATTATACGTGACACGACACGATTAATACATCTATAATTAATTCATTTAAATATGACATAAATAAATACGAATGATAATATACATGAGTAAACACAATTAATATGAATGCATATGAATAGACACGATTAATACGAATATAAACAAAAATATGACTAAAATAATAAATAATTATAAACTATATATTATTTACAACTTAATAAACTTGACATATATTAATATAAAAAAGTACTTATATATTAAAATAATAAAAAAATTTAATACCCATTTAATATATGTTACATAACTATATTAACTTTTAGTATCAAATTCGAAATGATAAACTTTTAAAGATTAAAAAATAAAATAATAATTCATAGGATTAATATTAATATTATATTTATATTGTATTTATATTATTAATATAAAAAATAATTTTATAATAATTATTAAATAAGTATCATAATTAAATACGTAAAATAATTTTTATATGATATTAAATAACTAATTAAGTATCATAATTAAAAAATTAAAAATTAAAATAATCTTTATATGTTTTATTAAATTAAAATAAATATAAAAAATATGTTAAATGTATGCTCATATAACAGAATTAAATTAAATGTATTATTCATGTCATATCATATGTTCAGATATGTCAACACGTATAAGACACGAATTGTATTGTATTGAAATTCGTATCGATACGAATAAATATAAAATACATTTAAATATATATATGTATAATTTTTTCATATCGTTTTTATATCGTATTGCTAAATTATATATGAAATTATCAAATTTAAATGAGTCGATAATGATGAAATACAAATAGTATTGCTCTTACACCTTGATTCCATGTAGTCACAATATTTATTATATTATATTTTGTCTTAAGTTTTTTATTATTTTAGTAAATATTTTAATATTAATTTTTCAACACTTAAATATCCTTTTTATATTTAAAAATTTTTTTGACAATTTTTTACATTTTAATATTAGAAATTATGAAATATTAAATTTATAAAAAATTAATGTTATATACTAAAACCAAATTTTATTTTTTAACTTTGTGAAAATCAATATAAAACTAATGATTTGGGACAAAAAATATGGGATAGAGTTATATGAAATTTCATAAGTGAAATTCGTGAAATTTTTTATTAGAAATGAGTAAATAAAAATTAAAATCGATAGATGAAAAAAATCTTATCACATAAATCAAGCTTATAAATTTTGAAAAAAATTTAATAAATTTTGATATATTTATTAAATTGATGTTTATAATAAAAATATTAACTGAATTTTTTTTATTGAATAAATATCGATCAAATTTGAATTATAAATAATATTTTTAATAATTTTTTGTATATTATTAATTTTCACATTACATTCTCTCAATCTATTAGTTTGAATTTTTTTATTAAAGTTTTTATTTACTCTTTTTTTAATAAATAATTTCACAAATTTTACCTATAAAACTTCATGTAATTTTTGTCTCGAAAAATATATATCTCACCTACTAGCTTGCTCCAATTTGTTTATATCTGAAATGACCTTTTTGGAGAAAGACTAATCAAAACACCATTTCATAAATTTAAGAGATCAACAAATAGGATTAAAATAAAAGGAATATCTATAAGACCTGATTTATGAAAGGCCATGCAATATTGTGAAATGTCGCTCAATTCATGTCATTTACATTTATACATCTATAATATTATGCCATATACATATCAGGGCTTGGAATTGCAAAACAAACCTTTGAAAGATCTGAAACCTCATAAGTTCAATCTAAAATAAATCATGATACAAAAATTGCAGAAAATAATAATTAAAGCCCAAAAGAAAGAAACCAGAAAGGAATTAAACCCATCTCTCTCCTTAGCTGGAACTTTGCAAATTCATCGACCCATTAAAGTTGCTACACTCTGACAAGGCCTTTGCAGTCATTTCCCTTTCGAATCTCCGAATGTAATTCAAACCGGCCATCAGCAGCTTAATGATCGCTGCTTCTGTCTTCATTTTATTTCCAAAGATTAGAGTTTGCAAAAGAACATTTGTTTTGGGCATCATGTTCTGCTGCTCAAAGCTCCTTTCACTTTGCCATTTGATCATGTTGTGTGCCAATGGTGATAACTAACCCAATATCCTTCCCAGAGATGTTCTCATTTAAGAAAAAATAAATAAGATAATAGAAATAATAATAAAAAAATTTAGTTTTGAGTGTGAAAATTACTTTCTTAAAGATAATTTTATCTTTAAAATATAATAAAGCCTCAAAACTCTTTAAGTAGAAGTAGTAAAAATGGTTATACTAAAAGATTTATAATGAACAGATATAAATTTCTATTTAAATGGTTATAACATTTTATATAATCGAGACATTTATGAATAATAATCTATTTATAGTCAAATAGTTATGACTATTTGTCGTATGATAATTATTTGTGTTCAAATATAATTATTTAAAATATAAATAAAATTAATACAAAAATTAATTTTATTCATCAATAATTAAATCTTTTTATTCAATGTAGGATGCACCACATTCTAAACTATCAACAATCCACCACATTATGTTCAAATAAATATTATGAATATAAGAAGGTATCTCTTGATTTAAACCTCCAATTAACGTATATATCATAGAATTCTTAAAAAATTGATAGTGTCTACAAATTAAACCTCAACTCTTAGTATTAAAATTAAAGATATAACAAACATAATACTTATTCTTCTATCAGAGGTTTATAATCGCTTTAGCACTATTATGGCCATATACTTATTTTATTCATAAATATTTACAATAGAAACCCCAAATTTTCTTGTTGAAGTGGCACTATTTCTATATTTATATAAGTAGAGTTTTTATTATATCTCCATTGTTTTAAACATTTAAATAATAAACTCTATTAAGA